ATATTATTATTATTTTAATATACACACATGTTATCTATATTCAAAACTTTTATACTAAAATGGATTCAATGATAAATTTAACTTTATAAAATTACAACTACAAAATAAATAATATTAATTTTTTTCCATATATATATATATCATTTGAACATAAATTAAGGTCACTAAAATATATTTTAACTGTCCAAATTCATATCCCAGCAAATACATATATATATATTAATTATATAAAATGTTTGTGCTATTATTAGTAAAAGTAATCAAGAGAATGCAAGTCAATGTAATAGAAAACATGATGACATATATTCAAAAAAGCATTGAATGTCTTGATATTTCCAATTCCTTTCATTTTAGAATGGAATCATATTACTAATATTCTGATTTTATGAAAAATAAAGCAACATTTTGGATGAATTTTTTTGACTTGTCAAGCGTAAGAATATTGCACATTTCAAATTTCCTTTATCTACTAATCTTAAATATCCTATACCAAATCCTTTTTTTTTTTTTTTTATAATTTTGGGTGTTCGGGTCGAACTTACGCGCATCTCGACTAATCCGTGGATCCACCGAATACCCTACAAACCCAGTAAACGAGATAAGACATCGCAAAGGTGATAGGCGTACGCAAAGAGAATCGAACTCGATTGCCATTAGTGAGCCACTCTCAACCTGATCATTAGGCTGCGATCTCAGGCACTACAAAATCCCCCTCTTTATTCTGTATGTAGTAGATGATGGCTGGACCCACGGCTAGGTAAAGGGGACCAAATTGCACAATTTCAATGGCTTTTCTGGGTTCTTGAAAAGGTTATCAAATCAGTCATTTAATAGCAATTAGAAAATCATCCATCCATCCCATCAATATAAAAGCAGAAAGAAGGAAAATGGATTGGTGCTGTTTAGGTTAATAATCACCACAGAAAAGGATTGTTTAAATTTCCAAGATGATAACACTTTCAATTGTGACAATTAATTAATTGCATGGCTGACAAAAAAGAAAAAAAAAAGACAAAAGCAAACAGAAAAAGAAAAACGAGTTTGTAAAATCGAAATTTCTTGATTTTTAAATCCACACGACCACAAAATATACCTTTCACCAAATACTAAGTGGTTGATCTGGTAAATTTCAAGCCACTCATAGTAGGGTTTTTTTTTTTTTTTTTTATGATTTCGAATGCTATTATAAATAAGAGGAAAAAAAAGAAAAATAATATTCTAACTCCCAAAAAATAATGAGGAGTCAAGTCATAAATTGAATTGTGTGAATTTATATTCAAGATAAGGATAATTTTCTGGACGTGAACAATTTTGTATTTTACACTCTTGTATATTCTGCTTTAAATTTTTATCAATTTGTAAATATTTTACATGATATAAATAAGACAGAGCTAATAAATATTTATATGATGCATAAGATGAGTTATTTATTTTAATAATTAGGAAAAAATTTAATATTGTTCGAATATAAGAAAAAAAGGTTAGAAAATTTTTTCACCAACTAAAATATGAATTAGTTATTTAAAATCTAATTAGGAAAAGATTTAATTTAGTAACTGAAAGTTAATGTTATATTACCAAACTTAGAAAAAAAGAAAATTTAGCCACTAAAAAAAACAACCAGCAACATTCTACGGTGAGTAGTTTCTTAGGTGCAAGGATAATATTTTTTTATGGTCCAAGAAAAAGGATTATTTTATTTTTAAAATAAGTAAAAAAAAAGTGTAAATATAAATAGTAAATTATAAATTAGTCTCTCTAGTTTGAAGAATGAATTAAATATTTTTTTATTTTAAAAGTTAACTATTTAGTCTTTTGAAAAGTGTATAACACATCTTTTATTTAACTATTTAATCTTTTGAAAAGTGTATAACACATGTTTTATTTAATATTAACTTATTTTAAAAAATAAATTTTCATCGATCTTTATATTTTTTTACTTATTATTATTTTTTATTTATTTAAAAAATTCAAAAATGATTAAGTTATAAGAATATTTAAAATTATAAAGATTAAATAATTAGTTTTTAAAATAAAAAGGATTAATAAATTCTTTTTTAAAACGAGAGGGACTAATTTATAATTTACTCAAATATGAGAGATGGGCGGCTCATCTAGAGGTGACGTGGAGCATTCCTTTTCCTATCCACAAAAATGTCAAAAAAAGAGCACAAATAAGGTAAGTGACGTAAAGGTCATCAATTGCCGTCGATCTTTGACTTCCACACGTACTTAATCCAACGGCCAAAAACACCTCACCCCTTGGCTCGAATTTTATTTTTCTATTAAAAGATCTTGGGACGGCACTAACTCCTTTGTAGCCCATTGTGTTCATCGATCAATCAATTAATAATATATATATATATATATATATAGATTTTATTGCTTTGAGAGACTATTACAGGAGTGATAGGGATAGTGATCATGATAGATTTTATTTTTATATAAAGATAGAAAAATATATCAAATCATTTATATTAGAATATAATCGAAATTCATGTATTTAATTTTACTCAAATTATATATAAGAAAACATGTTTTATTGAAATTACAAATAATTTATAGTTATCATAAAAATAATGTAATTTAATAGTAATGAAATTATTTTGGTTTGACAGAAAAAATTTAATTTTAGGTATTTATATATAATTAGTTATAATTATTCATTAATAGTATTAAATTTAAATTAGTTTGATTTAAAATAAAATTTTAATGATTAATAAAAAACGAAACATGTTTTGATATTAATTTAATTTAAACTGATTTGGTTTAAAAAAAGTCAATCAACAAAAAATTTATCGAGTTTTAATATTAATTTAATTCATGTAGTAACAGATTTAATATCAATTAATTTTAAAATATGGATTATAAATACTCACTATGTATAAATATATATATAAAAAAAATTACATAGCTCCTATTGAAAAGAAATTGAATCTAAACATAATCGTTAAACTTGAGAACACATAATCTTACTTAGCCATCGTCAACATTGTTATCTCATCCCTAATTTGTCTTTTAATTAGGGTTTAAATAAAATTTAATCTTGTCGTAGAAAAAGGACAGTAACAAAGATGTAAGTTGTAAAAATAAATAAATAAATAAATTTTTAGAATAATTAATTAATTAATCATATAGTAGATAATAAAGAAATAAAAAAGAGAACTTTCTTGCTTCTGCTTTGGATCTTCCTTTCATTTTCCTCATTCATAAAAACAATACAAACACACACCTTTTTTCCCACTTCTCTCTCTACAGGTTCTCTCTCTCTGAAAAACGCCTCCATTTCTCTCTTTAAGCTTCTCTCTCTCTCTGCCTCTTTATCGAACAAATACAGAGAAGAAGAAGAAAAGGTAGACCAGGCCTATTCTGTATTGAATTAACATGAAAGGAAACATGGGTTTTTATCTTTATTGGTTTTTATTCAATTTTGAATAAGAAGAGTTGGTTTGGATGATGGGTTTTTTGTGTTTTTACTGGTTACCTTATTGGTTTGTTTTTTTGTTGATTTTTTGTGGAATTTTCTCTTGTAGTAATTCTGAAAGCTCGTTGCTTTTTTTTTTTTTTCAATTTTAAATTTTTTCATTTGATACAATCCTGAAATCACGGAGAAAAAGTCAAGTTATTTGTGGAAAATAAGGGAGAGATTGAGTGGTGAAAAATTCAAAGAAAAAAGAGAGCTTTGGATGCTAAAAAGACTGAAGAGACCCACTTTTTTTGGAAATGAATTATGGAGGTGTGGCCATCTGGATGTTCTCTTTATCTTTCTTTGCATGTTTGTTTTTTGTTGTTTTGTTTTCCTGTCTTTGAGTGATCAAAATTTATGTAGTTGTCAAATGGAAACCGAGGTTTTTCTCTTTATTATGTGATTAATTTTTCTGGGTTTATATGATGGGTTCTTGATAAGTTCTTAATTTAAGGAACAGGGTTTCTAGATTATCTTATGTTGTTTTGTTTTGTTAGATGTGTTATGTTCTTGTAATTGGGTTTTCAATGATTATTTTTTTCTTCTTACTTGCTCTATTTGCTTACTGTAACTATGAGCAGACGAGGGAAGAGATGTATATTTGAAAGTAAGGTAAATTCTTGATCAGTTAGGCAAAAGGAGTGAAGGTGTAGGATTAATTAGAACGCTGGAATTAGACTGTTCGAAGATTTTACGGGTTGTTTAACCACTGTAGCTTGAGCTTGAGGTTAGAATGTTCGATCAAACTAGCATATTCTGTTATTGGGCAATACTGATGCTGTGTATCTTAAATTGATTTTTATGGAATTTGTCCTTGATGGTAATCAATATTCACAGCACATATACTGCTTTTAGTGCATCGTTGAAGAGTGATTTAGGCTTCTTCACTGACAAACCTATGAGGCATTCACAATAAGAATTTTTGAGGAAATTTGGAGATTGTTGTGACTGGAAACAACACCTCTGGTGGAGCTATTGTAATCTGAAAGAATCTTGGTTGATAATTGCTTTGAATTCTACCTTTGGCACTTGGCTGTAGATGGATGCTTTGGTAAATGGCAATAAGAAAAGAGATTATTGGATCACAGTTTGCATAGTTTTCTGATGATTGGATGGAGTAGTGATTTATGATGTAGTTTCTGTTGGAGATGCATTGTTACTGTCTCCACTAATTTCTACATGGACACTATTTGTAATCACTGTATGATTGAGAATATCCTCACTGTTCCTCCCCCCCCCAAAGGGGCGCAATTGAGAATGTAAACAGTTCGAGTTAGATTTTGGCAGCATTTCCCCTCTTTTCCTTTCAGTTTCTCATTGAATCATTGATAGTTCCAAGTCATGCCTTACATTTCTTAACATAGTGTGTGGTGTGGATAATATTGTGATGATGCATTCTTCATTTTATAAAATATTTTCCATGCGACTTTTTTTTTTTCCATTTCATAAGATGCAGCTTTCAAGAAGTTTCGATGCTCTAAAGAATAGATTTAATTTGTTGTCATTGCAGATTTAAGGGGGAGTTGTATAATTCATGGATGACTATTCTGGTAAGAGAGCTGGTGATGCCTTTTCTGTTTCTAGAAAGGGATCTGCCCATGTTTTGAGAGATACTGCTAATAATGGAGATCGAAAAGCTCAATTTTGCAACCGAATCGGATGCAGTGGCAGACTGAACTCTAGTAAAGGTACTCAAACCAGTTCAGAAAAAGCCAAATCTTCAAGGCCAAGGCCATTATTTTCATCTTCCTCAGGTGGCAAGGAACCAATTGGAAGCTCATCTAGGACTTGCTCTGCAATCAGCAAGCCTAGAAACTCCTTGCAGGAACCTCGAAAAAGTTTTCTTCTCAGCTAGAAGCAGATTCCTCTGACAATGGGAGTGTTCAGGATGAGCCTGAAGTTATACAGCCTTCTGGAAGGATTAAGCTAGATCTTCACGCTGAATCTGGTGGAGCTGGTTCTAGTGATATTACCTCAATCGAAGTTGGAAGCTCCAGTATATCAACAAGGACAAATACAAGGTACCATAGGAATTTTCATCAGAAATCAGGATTAGAAAAACCTGGGACTGTAGTGGGGTCACCTGTTTCTTTGGCATCTAAAAGCACAATCCAGGGGACACGTGTGAATGCCGGCAGGTATGGTCTTAGAAACCTTAGATGCAATACAGTATCTGATGCTGCCTCTTCAGGTTCTTCATCTCCAGATTCAAATCTAAGTAGAAGGAAAGACACGGTCAAAAAGAGAGTTTGTGATGGGGAAAGTAGTTCCTCTGCCAGAGGGAAGAAGATGATCGGGTCATCATTAGAAGGGCGGAGTTCTAGTTCAAGTTCTGGTATCTCCATTTCTGATTCAAGGCGAGCTAGAACTGGACCTCTGAACAGGGACAGCAGTGCTGCAACGGTTAGGACTCGAAGACCACTCAGTGTCTACACAAGGGCAAGGGTCCCTAATCAAGGAAATGGAAACAATGTATCAGCAAATGAGATACCACTAATGTCTCAACCTGATATATCCCAAGATTTGAATGCACCTGGTTCGTCACACCTGTTCTCTGTCGAAGCCTCTTTAGGTCGCTCAAGTTCTTATCGTCGACCTGGCAGTAGCACTGGGAGTTTACGGGGTATCAGGCCATCCAGTCCAGCAGAAGCTAGCAATGCCCGGTCTTTGATGAACCGTGAGAGCTCCCGGCGATACAACATGGATGGAATTGCTGAGGTATTTATTCCATATTTTCTTTCACCATGTTCTCTTGCCCATCATATCATTAATTAAACACAGTGATTAAATAACTCCTTACAGGTATTATTGGCGCTTGAGAGGATTGAACAAGATGAAGAGCTAACATATGAGGTTGGTAAAATTTTGGCCTTGTGATTTCATCTGATCCGTATTGGTGTCTTGACTTTTCTTTGTTGTCTTGCAGCACTTGCTTGTTTTGGAGACCAATTTGGTCCTTAATGGTCTGAACATCTATGATCAACATAGAGACATGAGACTGGATATTGATAATATGTCATATGAGGTTTGTGATTGTGTCATAGTAAACGCCTGCAATATATCTTCTTTTTTTTTTTTTCCTACTCCATCCTTGCACTTGTTTTCTTGCTTTCACACTTTTTGTGCTTATGTTTCTTGTTCTTTTTGTTATCCAAAATGCTGTGCTCCATGAACAAATTTTGTTATGATTGATTATGTTTTGTGTTGAAAGTCACCTCAACAAGTTTTATAATCTTTCCCCATTGTTACCTTACATCATTGCTACTCGGACAGGAACTATTAGCTCTTGAAGAGAGAATGGGTACTGTGAGCACAGCACTACCAGAAGAAGCATTGTTAGAATGCCTTAAGACTGGCATTTATCAGGCCACTCCAATGGAGGATGTGACTAGAAACCTTGAAGGTGATAAGGATGACATCAAGTGCAGCATCTGTCAGGTCTCTTTCTGTTCATTACTTACATTCTTTGTTATTTTTTCCTTTTCCTTTTTTTTTTTTTTTCTGCTTTTTGTTCTCTAAGATGTGCCTTTCATTGATTTGGATTTTTTGAAGTCATTTTAAATGAAGGGTTCAAAACATTAGCATGGTGACTTTACATAGATGTAGAAGCAATTATGCTAAACCAGGCCATTTTGGTTTTCCACCCTAATGGGCATGTAGGTTCAATCTAGTTGCAGTCAGAGCAAGCCTGAGCTTATTATCTTTGCAAGAAAAATAACAAGAACAATAACTATAAGATAATTCGTAAATTGGGTCTGTGAGAAGCCAAAAGAAAAGGTAGTTTTATTAGTTACACTTTGCAGTACAGGTTATTAGAATGAAAATCAGCATTGGAAGAACGAATTTATTTGGCTATGTCAACTTTCCAAAACTCTCTCTCTCTCCCTGTCACCTTGTTTCTGATGCTGCCTGATTTTACCATTGCAGGAAGAGTATGTTGTCGGAGATGAAGTGGGAAGATTACAATGTGAGCATAGATTTCATGTCTCTTGTGTACATCAATGGCTAAGTCTGAAAAATTGGTGCCCTATTTGCAAGGCATCAGCAGCTCCCTCCTCGTCGTCATCGTCACCGCTCCCATCCTCATAATCAACAAATGAATTGGATATAGGCGACTGACTTTTCCATTTTGTACAAAACAAAAAGTCTCCGCTCCTTCCATATTTTTCTTTCTTTTCCTTTTTTTCTTCCTTAATATGTTTCCCTTATGTACATAACAATTCCCTTTCAACAGATTAATAAGTCCAGGCTCTGTAAAGCCTCCACAGTCACAAGTCTATTGTCTACCCATAAAAAAAGAAACATGAATGAAAATTTCTTGGATTGTTTCTGGCCTTATTTCCATTTGCTATACTTGTTCCTTGATCGACCAATTTTAAGGAACTTGCAATTTAATTTCTGCATTGGTGTGCCTTGTTAGGGTGATGTTCCTTTTTATCAAAGCAACTTGCATGCGTGAAGTAAGGTAACCCTAACCTCTAAGAAAAAAGGAATCTTCGAATTTCAGTCCATGTCTACAACCAAGGTGAATAGGTGATGAATCTCGATATGCTATTAGCGAAGCTCATAATTATTGGTAATCATGTGATTGGATGCTGGTGTACGAAACAAAGGCATCTATCCATAATTTGTGATATACAAATTAGAAAAGAAGTGATGATGATGCTTCTCTGTAAGGAAGGTGTAGGTCCTTGGGAAAGGAAAAAAGAGTTCTTAAAAGCATTTGTTATCAAGCCATGGGACATGGGCTTAGGCTAGTAAGGGACCATTAGGGTAAAGCTAACTAGGAAGGATAAAACAGAGCTTGACAATGTCAGAATGATCTAAAAACTCTTTAATGTGTCTTGCTTTCCAATTAGCAACAATGTTCTTGACTTTAAAGCGTATCCTGATGCCTGGCATCCCACCTAACGAATATAGATTAGCTTGAAATCCCTTGTCCCCTCACCTTGGGAGCTGAGGATGGAAAAAGAGAGAAGAAAACAGCTACAACAACAGTTGAAAGGAAAAGTGAGCTCATTTGCTCAATTTTTTTGTGTTGGAATTGGAGACCTTGCTGAGGCATTTCAAAGGTCTCCTTTATCCAGTCTCGGAGAAGCTAACAACGCAGCAGATTGCATGGCAAAGCAAGGAACTACTCGATCTTGTGTTTTTGTAGATTGGCTATAAGGTGTAGTTTGTGCTAGGTGTTGTGTTTTGTCTTTCTCCGCTTGTTCTGTTTGTTTTCCTCTGTATCTCACCTTCAAGCAATAAACAGTACTTCTGTCGAAACTTGACGAGCTCTGTAATTTCTAATCTTTCTTCAGGACATTAGCAAACCACATGATTTGACCTCATTTTCATCCAAACACAGACCAGCTGCATTATTCCTGCAGAAATTTCGTAAGCAGCTCAAAAAGTTGACGGTAGGATCAACTAATCAAGGCACGATAAAGCATTCTTATCGGTGCACTGATTGATCCTGATCCTGATCCTGTTACCGAAGCAAACGAATTGATCGTTGACACACTTCTGAATCAATATCTGTTAAACTTCCTCTCCCTGTGACCCTGTCTCTTTCCTGATACGAGTATATGCCAACATGTTGTTTATAATCAAGTAAAGCAAGTGTAAAAGAACTACAGGGTAATCCCTGTAACTCATAGTGCAAGCCACGACAAATGCATGACAAGTTTCATCGAAAGCCAGCACCAGATAAACATCAGTGACGGTAGAAGCGATAACATGTTGATTCATCGGGGACAAATAACTTCCTGGAAGTGCAAATTGCGAGGCTCAAAAGAGAGACGAAAGAAGATAAAAAAGAATCAGCCTACTGAACTCGAAAAACCCCACCCACCTGATGTGTCTAATCTTTCATGAAACGAAGGTGTCAGTGGCACAATCGGGATCTCCAAGCAATTTGATATCCATGAAATTGTTATCTCTAAGCAATTTAATAACAAGGCAATAGCTTTGAGACAAAAATGATACAAGATTTACGCAAATGGTAGCTGATCAACATAACAAAATTGATGGCAGAACTTTTATTGCACACCAGAGCAAACAGCTCCTTTAAAGTCTGTGGTTCTTCAGAAGTCATTTGATTATGGAGAACTCAGTCAATGGCTCTGACAAGATTTGGAATAAAACAGTGCTCAAATCTTGTCAGTGAAAAACTGAAGCTCTAAAAAAATATATTTCGCCTAAAGACCAAGCTATAAACAGCATTCCAGCAAACAGGGTACCACCTTTAGAAGAGCTTGTGAGAAAGAGCAATACCATTTTGCAAATCCTAAATCCTGCCTTCCACGGGACATTGCAAAATAATTTCAAGGACACTGGGAGTTTCTCCATTATGAACAAAAAAGTGCTCCGAGGATAGACGGGGAGAATTCCAAAGGCTCGACCTGTTCTGGAATTTTAACCTGGTAGTGAATCTCAAATGGGTATTCAGATATCTCTTGCAAATATTACCTGCTGCTGATCCTATAACGTTCATGTGCATACTGAACACCAAAGTTTCAAATGAATGGGATAAATCAGTGCTGCTATGAATAGAGTTCTGTCCAGAAAGAGATAATAAGCAGAAAGACACAATTCCTTGCCCATTATCAGTCAACCACTTGTTTACAAACTTTGCATTGGGCCAATTTTTTATCATTACAACATGAACATCCCTATTCTCTAGCACTGATTTTTTTTTTAATCATCAAAATTATGTTGATTACATTCTTCTCTTATCTCCTTTGATTTGAATAAGTTATACTCTGCCTCCGGCCTGTGTAAGATCGGCCAAATTCCACCATTTGCAAGTTCAAACACGTGCTAGTTTAGGCATGGAAAAACCACAATCTTGAAGAGAGCATGGAGGTAGAATAAGGTTTTAGCAGGGATATTTTCAGGGTAATTCACTTGAAAAATCAAACATAACAACAAAGACAAGTCAATGGATATCAATTTGTTATTAATTAATATTGGAATTCCAATCAATTCTCAGATTTTAAAATACAAAGAGCAACACTACAGCTCTTTACACCAGCGGTTTACCTTTCAACAAGCTACACAAGAGTATCCTGCAAAACTGTCTAAGACTTCCTCTTTGTTGGCTGTAAATGATACAGAAGAGCTTCGGACCTGTAGCGATGGCAGCAGACAGCCAACACCGATGCTTATCATACAACAGAGCAACCAACCACGGGCATTCTAATTGAAACTTTCCCTGGCTTGGTTGCTGCTAAATAATTTTCTGATCCATACAGGATCTGCAGCAGGAGAATACAGACATCTGGAAGCTCAACCCACAAATTTCCATCTTGCTGGGGCCGAGCTTCAACAAAAGTGGCCATGTGGTTCATCCTGGCAACAAAAACAGAACCGGGTGCATCAATGACTTCCAACAACAGTTGTCAATGCCTTGGAACCAGGGCAGCTTGACCCAATGATGGCTTTGGGATAAACAAGTCTTCACAGGTATGTTTCAATCCTCGAATGAATGCATACATATTTTCTCCAGCAGCAATGGCCAATCTTCACCAAGTTGCTGTGGATTTAGCTCCATGGCAACTTTGAAATCAAGCATAGATATTGAACTATGAGGCCTCTGCCCGTGCATACCCTCTACAGGACCACTGCTACTCTGCATATGCAAGTGATTACTTGGCCACATGCCATTGATAACCTTGTTCTGTACCTGCTGCTTGTGAAAAGGGTGCTTTCTTGGATCATGCGGAGACCGTGCTCCTGCCAACTCCACACATGACTTGATCAACCTCTTCAAGTACACATCCAACATCTTATTCAATGTGTTTGCACATTCCGTTGTGACCCCACCAAGGCCTTGTGCAGCTGCAATCTGCTCCATGCGTTTCCTCAGCATCTCTGTATCAGACAATCCACCACTGTCATAATAGCTACCAAAATCAGCATTGCTTGCAACTGGCATCGCTTTGCGGGCCCCACCCACACTGGCTGAACAATATTGAATCCCTAATGGTGCAAGTAGAGGACTTTGAGAGAAGCTCAAGTGGTTTGCCTGCTCCACCTCCTCTCCATCTTCCACAAAAGCAGTCAGATCTTTGCTCTGTGTCCTTGGTCTTTCGATGGGCCGTTGAGCTGAACCCTTCCTTTCATTCTCAGGTTGCTCAGCTACTGTTTGAAGATGCTGCACTGGTCTCTGATAATCACAAGGAGCCAATTCCCCATTTTCCACAACAAACTTACTTCCACTATCTTCTGCGCCGATTGATTGATGTGAAATACATTCGACTTTCCCGTTGGGCCCAAGTGGGCTCGGTCTATCTCTGAGCTTCCGATCACGTATCCCTGACCTACCCTTTCTTGGGGACACTGGTAAAACCCCATTAGACCAAATGGGCACATTTTGATTTGGAATAAGGGACCCACTTTGTTCATGCCCATCTTCTCTAACAGGAGAACTTTTTGAAGCTTGAATCAGAGATTTTGTGGGACCCGCCTCATAAATTGGAGGCGGCGTATTCGCCTGACAGGCATTCTTCAATATTGAACGTATAAGATTATTGTGCAGCGGTAGATTCTCCCTTCCAAGCAGGCGAAAACATGACTTATCAAACTCACTCTTACTCAGCTTCTGACTCAAAAATCGATTCAAGTAGTAAAAATACTTCTTTGACCTCTCAACTCCAATCTTCTTCACTATCTGAGTTCTCAATTCAACCAAATCAACTCTGGAGCTCTGATGAGGTTGCATTTCTCACGAAACAGATTCATACACCATCCAAAAACAGAACTACAAAAACCCAAAACCCCCAATTGCACACTCAATTACAGTTGTTTTTGCCTCCACAATAACACAAATTCACACACCCACATATCAAATTCAATGCAAATCAACAGTCAACCTCTGCTTATCTCCAGCAAAAACAGTCTCAATCACCACCATTCACCAAAATCACCAAAACCCACAATTCTCAACCCGGATAACAGCTATTTCTGTTTCCAAATAACCCAAAACTCGCCCGCCAATAAACCATACAATGCAAAACCAAATCTCATCTTTACAAAATCCAAAACCCTAAGAGATCAAACTCACCAAAAAAACTCAATCCAAATCACCCAAAACCAACACCAATTCATTTAAACACGCAATAAATCAAAACCCTAACTTCAAATCACCAAACTTTATATACACAACAAACTCCTTTGTCTTCTCATACCGCTGCACCAATCAAAATAACAAAAACCCACTTCAGTTTTCAGACTATTACACGCAATTCACAAGCTAACAAGTTCAAATTTTGAAAAAATTAACTTAATAAACAGAGATCAGTAAAAGAAACTAAACAGAGCCCGTTAAAAAAAATTGACAATGAAGTGCCAAAAGTAAACTTTAAGAGTCTAAAATTAATGGGTTTTAAAGATTAATTAAGTAAAAATTTAAAAAACTAACCTTTGATTAAACTTCACCAAAATTGGAGAGTGAGAGCTTGATTCTTGGCTTGTTTCCTGGGTTTTGAATGTAGTTTTTTGTGTTGTTGGTTTGAAAAGAGGGTAAAAGAGAGACACTCTTGCGGTTTTGAGAGTATTAGCTAGCTTGATCGCCCCCTTTTGCTGCTAATTAGTGTAATAAATAGTTTCTTTTCGTTCGTGTGTTTTATTTTTCTTGGTTTCTCTCTGTGTTTCTTTCTCTTTCACTCTCTCTCTTCGGTTCCTTCTTTCTTGCTCGGTCTCACCTTGTGTTTTTTTAGTACAAACGTGTTTAATTCATTTTTTTTTCATTTTTTTTCTTTTTCATCCTTTTTAATCCATTTTAAGATTTCAATTCAATTCTCTTTTCTTTTTCCTTTCTACCTCACTTCCTTTTCTTTTTTTTCTTTTTTTTTAATAGTGCAGACATAATCGATTTTTCATGAATCGAGTTTACGGATATCATATGTATCTAAATTGATGTACTTACAAGAATTTTTTTTCTTATAATCTTATTTTAATTTGAATTTAGTGTAGTAATCCAAAAATAAAACCCACTTGTTACTTCATCAGTCAAGTGTTTAAAAATAATCTAATTTTAAAAAATTATTATTATTTTTATTTTTTTTGAATAATCAAATTTGGTTATAAAACTAAATCAATAGTTTTGAAATTTTATGAAGCGATAAAACCCTAATTTCTTGATTTTTTTTTTAGAGTTAGAATTTGATTTTATAATAACTAGAGTATAGAAATAATTTATTATGTTGTATTTGAAAAAAATTATTGTTATTTTGAATACAACGGTTGACATTTCAAATTCATTTTATATGTAATTCTAGTACATGATACGTAATTTTAAAATAAAATAAAATACATATAGAAAATAATACGTCATAAATAATTACATATTTTCACTAATAATTTGGGTGCCGTTTTATTAATTAATTCATTCTTTGAATATATATTAAAAAAAAAAAAACTTTCAAGTTTTATGGCATAAAATTTTAAGAATATGAGAAGAAGCATTTAATTCAGCAAAATTTGTCATCTTGGGCATCGAATTGGAAGACCTACAATTTAAAGTCAATTGAGCACGAAGGGAAATAGGAAATTGACTTGTCATGCCTATCGGCTCGTGGATAAACTACTAAATAAATATATTATAATATTTTATCCTCTTAAGACTTAACATTTGTGTAAAATCCACATAGTACTAACTACTAACTACCTTTGAAACATAGTTCAACAGGAAAAACAAACTACCTTTGAAAAACCACTTACATGGCAGAAAAGGAGCTTTCTTTTGTGTGTGAAATGGATCACTAGCTTCCTTGAAAACAACTTGCAAACGAGAAGAGAAGAGATACATCAAGTGAGACAGTTATCTAGCCCCTCTAGTTTCAAAATTCCCATATCGCATTCCGATAATATTTTAAAGAATTAACAATTATAGTTATTATGTTTGCTATAAACATAGAGACTGAATTATTCGTTACTCTTATACGAACCCTAGTATGCGAAAACCTTTTCGTTATTCATGCACTTTTAGAGCTCGATCACCAGATATGGAAAAAGACTTGAATGATACCATATATGCTTAGGGTTTCACAAATCTAATGGTTGAAATTCTTCGAAAAGTGGTTTCGGAGAAAACTTGAAAACTTCCGGTAAAATTAGCATCATTCATGAAGTTAGGACAGAGCAAACTCACAACGATCTGCCACTGCCACCCATAGAAAGAAATGTTGATGTAATGTTTCCAAATTTCTAAAATGGCTAATTCTGTGGGGATTAGGGTTTGCAAACAGTTGTTCTCTCACAGTAACTTCATCGGTGACCGCAGCAACAGTCTCTTGCAAAGAATGATGTCAAAAGATCAAACAGCCTACGGAAGAGTCGACTTCTTAACAAAAAAAAATTAAACGATATTCTCATCGATGATGCCATACTGATGTCAAAAGATCAGACGATACTTACCATCACAAAGACATGTGAATATACCAAAAAGCTTGTAGCCAGTGGTAATAGTCTCTTGCAAAGAATCACGAGTTTAAATCCTAACAAACTAGTTGTGCTAAAAGCTTGAGTGTGTGTGTTAAGTGTGAGTTTAAAAAAAAAGGGACATGTGAATACTGCCGTAATCCTTGTATTATATTAGACAAACAGTAGAACTAATGACACTGATTTTTCATTAGAGAAGGCATTCAATCTTGTGACGTTATTGATTTCACTGTGAAATGATGTTCCTAAAAGCATGTGCTGCTTAAATCTCGAAAGAAATTGGTCTGAAGACAGCACAGCCACGAAATGAAATAATACTTACAAAGTAATTCGTGAAAGAATTTCAGAGTCAGAAGATAATTATGTTCCATCAACTGAATATGCAGTTTATGGAACAGGATATGTTGTCCTCAAATCTACCAAAATTCTGTTGGTATTAGGCACAGCTAAACTTCATTGCTGACAGCTAAATTTCATTGCTGCTGTTTCAAAGAGGGGGAGTTTATATGGTATCCACTTGATTGCCTAATCCTTCGAGGTTATGACCAGCAGACCTAAAACGCCTATAAGTATGTACTGCAAGAAAAACCAACACAAAGTTAAACGTTATGCACAAAAACTAGGGAAATGAACGTCGCTAGCAAAAGCACAGCATGCAACAATTTCCCTTTGTTTTGTTTGGTTTTAATTTTCTCTTGAGAAATTTATCTGTCAATTGTTTTTATCTTAAGCAGGGAAATGAGCATCTCTAGCAGTTTTACGACTGATTCAAAAGGCAAAAAACAAAATCTTTCGTAGTACAAAACCTTTAAACTACCTTAATAATAGGTTTCTCAGTCATGATAATTGTTATCCAACCAGCATAAGGCACAAACCTGCAGGAGAGAAGATATAATTCAGTCTCACATAAATCAAGAGGGTATATACGTCTAGCCCAATTATTAGTTTATTTATATTGCAGAAAGTGTTTACAAGAGAAATCATAAGACAGAACGTTCGTGTTTCTTATGTCTATGAGTTGGTAAATCATTCATTTGGTTGGACACATTTACCAGCCTGAATTCATCCATCATCAGCTAACCCAAGATGTACACTTTTTGATCAAACAAGTATCAGATAAAATCAGTGGATGACAGCATAAGGAAGTACCAACTTAGAACACCAGTTTTTGTACCTTTCGAGCCAATCCATGATCTCCCATATAAATTACAATTTCATGTTGCACACACAATATATGTAAATACATGAATAACTGACTTACGCAACAGCTCTCCCCATAATTTGTTGTGGCTTCAACCAACGCTGACCATTAGCATACAAACCCCTGTCATTCGCGTCATTAGCGTCTCCTGATAAAATTAGCCAATCACAAATTGGACATTAAACTCCTAGTTATTAACAGAAGAACCATAAGCAGAAGTATTCAAACATTTTTTTTAGACCATTTCATGTGTATCTCTTATGCAATGACTTAATAGGCTTTGTTGTCCCGTTTGATCCTTTTTAATTCATCTTCATATTTAAAACTCAACTGAGAAGGAAGGTGGCACATGTTCAAAAACAATTTTATTCTTGAGAGTAGAAGATAATTAATTAAGATAAGCAGATGCATACTCAAAGAAATTTAACAGCTTGAGTTACAGAACTTGTTACCTTTTGTAAGAAGGTCAACATTTCCATTATTATCCTCTTTGTGAACCTACAAAGCATAGCAAATTTACATTATGCAAATTTGTTATTAAAAATCAAATAGTATCATACAAGACTAATGTGTTAGCAGAAGCAAGACTTCTGCCACTGCTTGTCTGATCTGCCATCCCCTCCCCACCCCACAAAAGAAAGAAAAGCAACATAAAGAAATTTTGGGCTGAGAAAAGTTTTGGCAACTTCTAGAAATAATTGTCTAAAGAGTGACTGATGGAATTAAATCTAGCATGTCACTAGCTGATGGAATACAACCTTATCTTTCTCAATCTAAACAATCAGTACTATTTTCATTCTGCTATAGATAAAATGCATAATGTGATGTAACCAACTGAAATGGTTAGTTTTAGAAATCTTATTCAATTAACCAAACTCCTTCCAGAGTGGATATAGAACCAGCAGATACATATTGAAGTACCAGAAAAAATGGTAGTGAGGTCAAGATGAGCTAAGGGCCTTCATTCTTCTGCTCAATTGGTGTGCTTCCTTGCAAGAAACATGAAATATACTATAGTTGACATTAAATAAGAGTGAATGCACGGAAGCTTATATTTCCTGTTGGTAGTTTGCTTTCTATATGGTCACTATGTCCATATTTAATACATTTTCAGTTTGGAACTAAATAGTCAGCACAAAACTTTCAACAACCCTGTGCAAAGTGCCCAGCATAATCTACGATAAACATTAACAAGCATACATAGATAACAAAACAAGTGGAATCTCGCATTAATTGTTACCTCAGTTACTCGATGGACAATTGGAATTGGGCGTCCCTAAACAATGCATAGAAGATAAATTAAAAAAAAAAAAAAAAAGAGACTGCAATGTTAAATTACAAGTACATTAGTGAGAGGAAAGAATAAAATTTGCACTATAACCAAAGCAAAGGTGAACAACTTTGTCAAATACAATGTCCATCCCATTATTATTAGATCATAATTTAAATTCATAAGAATGACTTCTCTATGTTAAGGTAAATACAAAGCTGAACCGAAAATCTCTGCTTAAAATCAGATGCTCGCTAGAATTTCTAGGGCTACTGTTCAAACCGCTAAAAGGGTTCAAAGAAAATTCACCATAACACCCACATTACTCCTTTCAATGATTTATCAGTACTCCGGTAGCACTGCTGCTCCGCTCAAACGAAAGTGGGAGCCATCATGGTAGGACCTACTTTTTTATGTGACTGAGGATGCAGTGGCACCTAATATTTTCTCCATTATTTTCCATAAACAAGAATTCAACAAAAATATGTACTAAAACTAAACATTAGAACAATAAAATAATTAAAAAAAAAATCAAAATCAACAACAACATCAGAGATAAAGCAAGAAAACGCAACAATCACCATATAAAAAAATAAAGGAAGAAAGAACATACTTCTACATTATACACAACAATCTCTCCTGTTCGAATTGGGGCCTTGCCCATATGCAAGAACAAAATGTCACCCTGCAAGCCAAAACAACATAATAAAAATCACACCTTGCCTATATTCATATTCATATGTAAACCAAAAAAGACCAACAAAAAAAAAACATGGGATTCTTAACTCGTTTGAAACCAGGTTCCATGCTACCAGAAAGAACAACGACAACAGGAGATTCACTACCAGTTAAACACATTAAGACTTTCCATATTATTAAGGCTGTCGACACTATAATCCCTGCAAAACAAAAATAATCAAGAAATCAATTAAAAAAAAAAGGAGAAATATTTATGATCTTTTTGAAGAGAGGATAAAGAAAAAGAACCAAGACTGCTCAATTGAGTGAGAGTGACTCTAATCTTCATAGATTTGGTTGACTCTACACGCTTTTCTATCCACTCCATGTTTTTTCTCCCCTCCTCTGTGATCTTTTTCTTTCGTACAACTGAAACTGGGATTGTTGGGTTTTGCAGGGGATTGTCACAGCGAGAGAAAATATGGCGGTTAAAATTCATATACAGTACCTGTAGTCTTTACATTTAGTCAAATAAATTCCATTACTTTTAATACATTCAATCCAGCCCCTATATGTCTAATTTAAGGCAATTTGTGATCTTATTTTCAATTATTTTTTATTCAACAATAAGGGATATCATCGGGTAAGCTCATGCTTCCCAACAATTTTAAGACAACACCTTCATTCATATGAGTTTAATAAGCTATTCTGGATGCAAGTCTCGATGTTTGAATAGTTAAAAAATAGAACAAACCTCTTTAATTATCAGGCTAACTACTTAAAATTAATTTTATATTCAATTAAATCTTAGCACATGACATACTAATTTAATTTAGTTTATGGGATAAACTCGCTTTCCATTACGAGAAGGGGTTGATCGGGCTCGATTTAAGAAAGAGGACTTGATTTGACTAAATGTAAATGTAAAACGACCAAATATGATTTTTGCCTTAAGCAAAAAGATCGCTGTTATAGTCTTTCTGATTTGCGGGTCCCACTGGGATGTGTCTGTGGCTTGGCCTGTTGAATAACATTTCGACAAGTGGAATTACTTATTCTAATTACAATAAATTTTTAAAATTAACAGGTTTGGTATACTACATTTTGGTTCCTAAGTTTTCCTAATATTCTTCTTCAGTCCGTATTTTTTAAAATACTTATAATCTCAACTATGTTTTCAATTTTTTTTTTAAAAAAAAATAATCGAATTCAAAAGTATAATTCATTATCTCAATCTTTAAAAAAAAAATTCAATCAACAGAATTCAAATTCCTATTTGCAAATATATGCTTGCATCACGATAGAAATAACGAATTTTTAATAATTTTTAATGCAGAATACCATACATATATTCTATTATCAATTGAATCTACAGTCTATATAACAAAATATTTAGTCCTCAAATTTTACAAAATTATGTTGGTGTTGGATACATTTAAATTTCTTTGCTGCTATTTCTTTAGATTCGGATATTCTCGAGCCAATTATTTCGTTAGCTGAAACCAAATCTTCTTCTCGAACTATTTTAAAAACACATTTCTTGTATCGATTTAGTACATTCAGAAAATTTAACAAGTTCTCTCTTTGGTGGCCACAAGGCTTGCTGCCATGTCTTGAAAACTTGTTTACCTAATCACTGGAGACCATGACCAGCAGACCTAAAGCGCCAACAAGTATGTACTGCAAGAAAAACCAGAACCAAGTTAACCTTAGCTGAAAAGGCTCAGCATGCAAAAAACTTTCTTTTACATTTGTTTGATTTTTATTTTCTCTGGAGAATTTCATTTGTTAGTTGTTTGGCATTAGGGAAATGAATGTCTAGCAGTTTTTAGACAGATTCAAAAGTGAAAAAAATCTGTACAAGTGCTGCAAAACCTTTAAACTACCTTGATGATAGGTTTCTCGGTCATGATAATTGTAGCCCAACCAACGTAAGGAAGAAACCTGTGGCAGAGAAGAGATGATTCAGTCTCTCATAAGTCCAAAAGATATACACTTCGGGGCTCAATGCAAGCAGAAAGTGGTTAGAAGAGAACTATAAGAGAGACATTTGTGTTTCTTGGGATAAAATGAATTGCGAAATCGTTCAATTCGACAGACAGATGAACTAGTCTGGATTATTTCAGCATCAGATAAACCAAGATGGTAACCCTTTTTTATCAAACTAGTATGAGATAAAATCGGCAGACAACAGCATATGAAAGAACCTATTTAGAACACCACTTTTTGTACCTTTTATGTTAATTCGTGATCTCCCATATAAATTAAAATTTTATTTTGCAGATGCAACTGACTTACCCAACAGCTCTCCCCATAATTTGCTGTGGCTTCAACCACCGCTGTCCGTAAGCATACAAACCCCTGTCATCCGTAGGATTAGCGTCTCCTGATAAAATTAGACAATCACAAATTGAACATTAGTCTCCTGGTTAGTAAAAGAGGAATCATAAGCAAGAGTCTACAAGCATTTTTTTAGACCATTTCATGTGTATCTCTTTAGGCTGAAAAATATGTCCCTTTTATTTATCCTTCCCTTGTAATTCATCTTCATATCTAAAACTCAACTAAGAAAGCAAGCGGCACATGTTCAAAAACAATTTTATTCTTGATAGTAGAAGCGGATTAATTAAGATAACCGATGCGTACTCGAAGAAATTTAGCAACTTGAGTTACAGAATGTGTTACCTTTTGTAAGGATATCAACTTTTCCATTATTTTCCTGTTCATGAACCTACAAAATACAACAAATATTATTATGCATAGACTAATGTGGTAGCAGAAGCAAAGACTTCCGCTGCTGCTTGTCTGATCTGCCCTCTCCTCCCACCCACCAAAGAAAGGACAAAGACAGGTATAAAATTTTGTGCTGAGAAAATTTCTAGAAATAACAGTCTAAAGAGTGACTGATGGAATTACATCTAGCATATCATTATTTTGGTGGGCAACTGGGCCTAGAACAACCAGATACAAATTGAAGTTCCAGAAGAAATAGTAGTTAGGTCAAAAAACATGAGCTAAGGACCTTTTGTCTTCTACTCAATTGGCATGTATCCTTTGACAGTAAGATAAACCAGAGTGGATGGATGGAAGCTCATATTTCCTGATGGTAGTTTCCTTTCTAAATGGTCACTAAGTCCATAAATAATACATTTTCAGTTCAGAACCAAAAACTCAACATAATCTCAGTCTAATCCCAGTTTATAATGCATTCGACAACCCTATGGGAAGTGCCCAGCATATTCAACACTAAACAAAAAACACTAAGCATACATAGTTAACAAAACAAGGGCAATGTTGCATATATTGTTACCTCAATTACTCGATGAACAATTGGAATATCGCGTCCCTAAACATTGCAAGGACGATATATTAGTCACAGAAACGGAAAAAAGAAAATTGGGATATAATCAAAGCTAAAGAGAACAACTTTGCGAGAAACAATGTCCATCCATGGATTATTAGCACATCATAATTTAAATCCATAAATACGACTTCTCAACGTTAAGGTAAATACAAAGCTGAATCACTCACACATCTCTGCCTAAATCAAATGCTCACTAAAATTTTCTAGAGCTGGTGTTTAGACTGCTAAAATGGGTTAAAAAATGATTCACCAAAACACCCACATTACTCCTGAAGAACTATTCCGTAATCTGGTAGCACTGCTCCTCAGCTCACACAAAAATGGATCCCATCACGGTGGAAATAGAGGGTCCAACATTTTTATGCGACTAGGAAGCAATAGCAACTAATAGTTTATCTGTTTATTTGGGTTAATGGCTTTGTCCTTATATAATAAGATAATTCTTCAATGTGTTTTAACATATCTAATTAAATCAATTTTTTTCTTTAAACATACGCTAAGTTTCTAACCTATCCGTTTGACAAGATATTCAATTCAAACCACCAAAATTTATTACGTGATTTTCACATGATTATTTTTTATTTCCAGAATATCCTTGGAAGATAAACAAAAGGAAGGCTTTAATATGAAAATCACTTGACTGTTTTTGTGATTTAGCTTGAAATTCTTGCCAAAATGATAGATTAAAAACTCAGGTAAAGAATTATTCAAATGAAAAAATTGACTCGATTAAAAAAATAAAAATATATTGAAGAGTTGCTCAATCATGTAAAGTCAGATCAGGCCATTATCCCCATTTATTTTTCCATAAAGAAGGATTCAACAAAAAATTGTACTAAACTAAGCACTAGAATCATTAACTCATGACAAAAAAAAATCAAACATAACAGCAAGAAATCTCAAAAGGAAATTAAAGAAAGAAAGAAAGAACATACATCTACATTGTACACGACAATCTCTCCTGTGCGAATTGGGGCCTTCCTCATATGCAAGAACAAAATGTCACCCTGCAAGTCAATACAATCAGACAACATTTCTGTCACTTCCATTAAAACATAATCAAGAAAACTAAATGCAACCAAATTCAAGGGGAAAAAAAAAACAAACATGGGATTCTTAACTCGTTTGAAACCAGGTTCCATGCTACCAGAAAGAACAACAACGACAGGAGATTCACTGCCAGTTAAGCACATCAAGGCTTTCCATATTATTAAAGCTGAAGACACTATTACCCCTGTAGAACAAAAACAATCAATAAATGAATAAAATGAAAGGAGAAATACCAGTAGATAATCAAATGTAAATCTTTTTGGAGAGGAGAAAGAACCAAGAGTGATGAATTGAGAGAGAGTGTTTCTGATCTTCATAGATTTGACTGACTCTACATTCTTTGCTATCCACTCCATGTTTTTTCTCCTCTCTCTCTCTCTCTGATTTTTTCCTCTTGCGAAACTGAAACCGGGATTCTTCGGTGTTGCAGGGAGGCTGCAATAAAACGAGCAAAGACGGCCGTTAAAAATAACATATAGTCCCTATAGTTTTATACTTAGTCACCGGAAACCTTTTAGTTCATAGAGGTCATAACAAGCCCTTAATTTTTTAAAATTATTAGTCTTTTTGAGATATTATATTCAATTGAATAATAAAATTTGATATTAAAGTTGAAAATTAATTATTTTTTCAATTTAATTAATGGGATTAAATTACTTTAAATTAGGGATATAGGGATTTATTTGTTTCAATTTTAAATAGAGGATTTAAATATACTTAATGTAAATGTATAGGGACCTTGATGATTATTTGTCTGAATTAAATGTACAGATTGACCGTTATGGTGTTTTGAGGGCGGCCCCGCTACGATGTATCTGTGGCGTGGCTTGTTGAATCATATAGTGACATGTGGAAATTACTTATTCTAATTACAAGAAATTTTAAAAATTAACAAAGGAGATTATTATTTATTTAGGGTGAAATAGAATGTTTCAATTTTTATTTTTGCTATTTGAAACGTGCAAAGTTTTAAATTTTTTATAATTAGATATTTCTGGATTATGTTAAAACATGCTGATGTGGTCATTAAATTTGTAAGAATATTTTATTTTATTTCTATTCAAGTGTCAATATATTTTTTTTCTATTGAGTGAAGCTATTTTCATTTTTTTTTATTTAAGTATATACATTCAAAATTTATGGATGAATGCTATTAATTTTGAAAAATAACAAATATTTACTTTATTATCTTACGCAGGTCATATTTTAACCTAATTAAATAAAATAAAAAATTAAAATGATAAATGATAATAGTAATTTATTCGATTTTTAAAAAATAAGAATAATAAGTGACTTTCAAACAAAAACAATGTCAAGCCACTCAATTTCCTTCACTTTTCTCGTGAACCAAACAAACTTCCACCACAAGTGTTAAAAGGTAAAAAAAATTATTAAATTCATCATACAACAAAGCTAATTTTTTAATACATGTTTTTATTTGTCAATAAAATCTTTGAATCGCTCTTGCACACGTGTGTATATATATATATATATATATATATATATATATATATTTCCATACCAAGTTTTATCAAAACTCTCTCTATATATTTTTTTAGTTTTTTTTGTTGCTTTGTTGTTTTTAATTCTCTAATCTAGTTAGTCATGGTCACCATTTTTTGTTTACACTCTTTCTTGTTATGTTTTTTTATTTTGAATAATTTTTTAACTATTTTGTTGTTTTAATTTTAGTTAACTTGGCTAAAAAATGGCCTATATAAAATTGGAAGTGAATATCTATTAGGTTTCAAAATTAATAATACTCATTGATAAATTTTTGAAAGTACGAATACTTAAATAAAAAATAAAATTAATAGACTCAAATAAAAAAATAAAAATACATGTACTAAAAAAAATAGAAATGTATATCCTTGATTAGAGATAAAATAAAATATTCATATGACGAAATAGGAAGTTTTCACGCTTTTTCTTTTTTACACGAGAGAAGGGAAGCTTTCACACTACCCTTTTGTGAAGTAGTCTTGTATGGACTAAGAACATCTCCAATGCTCTCTTTATATTAAGATTTTTCTTTATAATAAAGAGGTTTGATCCAAATTTCATCTCCAATGCTCTCTTTATTATAATCTTTATTTTTAAAATTGATATAGAGAGTGTCTTTGGCTCTCCAATAATAGAGAGTCCAAATGACTCTTTATTTTATATTTCATTAATAAAAATTAATATTTTCTATACCACTCAACCTCTTCTCCAATAGTCTCTTTTGGTTTTATAGATTTTATCAAAATAAAGAGTTAAGTAGAGAAGATATTGCTCTTCAATTTATATAATTAATAGTGCTCTCTATTTACATTAAAAATGCTAGTTAAAAGTAGAGAGCATCATTGGAGATGCTCTAAGGTTTTTACAAGCAAAAGCATGACCATATAGGCAAATAATAAATCAAATGGGGATAAACATGGTATACTATTCAAAATAAAAGCACTTATTTATTACATTATGGTTTTAATTTTTTTATGATCCTTGAAGAAAGGAATAAAAAACCTTATTACATCGCGTTCATCAAACTTCTCTTTAAAAACTAGATTTACAAATATTTGAATTTTTTTTAATTTTTTAATCTTTATTTGAAGTAAATTATTTTATAAACATAATCTCATTCAAAAATTATAATTTAGATATAATATAAGAAAAAAATCATGAAATATTTTTTTGAGAAAAAAATTAAAAAAACCACTTGAATGGTTAATATTGAGAATTTGTAAAAAAAAAAAAAAAATGACTGAAATGAAAAACTAAAAAAACTATAAGAGTACAAATGCACTTCACCACAAGAAACTAATATTTAACATATTTATTATATTTTCTTGTATAAATTATAAATTAGCCTCTCTAGTTTTGAAAGGTAAATTTAATAGTCTCTCTTGTTAAAAATCAAATTATTTAATCCCTTGACCTTGATCACGCTTAATTTATATTATTTTATTTTAATTTTTTTTTATTTGCTCATTAATATTTGCATAATATCTTTCTATTTTTTTAAACAATTAAAATATAAATAAATTAGAAAAAACATAAAATAGAAAAAAAAAACTAAATAATTAGTTTTTCAAAACTAGAGGGACTAATGTATAATTTACTATAGATTCACAAATCATAATACTGATGCGGGTCGGGTTATGCAATTCGATTCCTGCACGGATTTTAGAACCCTAAATTTAAAAATTTGTCTCTTGTTTTCCACTCAGAAAAATTAAATCAGATGGAGGACAGCGATTTTGAAGAAGAAACCCTAAAAAAGAGGCATAAGAAGAACCCACTTACATCATCAATGGGAGAAGTGGTAGTTTATTATTATTATTATTATTATTATTATTATTATTATTATTATTCAACGTTTCAATTTTTATTTATTATTATTATTTTTTTTTTTGTGTGATTATAATAGTAATTTCTGTGTGAAAATCAGAATTTTATGCACGAAGATGATGAAAATGATCGGCTAGAAACCGCACGTGCTAGATGTAAGAAAACTTACGTTTTAGTTGAAATTACGGTTGTTTTGTAAGAAACTAAACTGCTGTCTGTTCTGGATTTTTTTTTTTTTTGTGATTAGTTTCCAACGTAATTAAGAGACACGCGGCTTTGGCAGAGAGGCTGTCGAGGTGAGAATTGTGTTGATGGTAGTGTGGTTAGTGAAAATGTTACTGGGTTTTGAGGATTAAGGGAATTTTTCTTTTTTGTGTGTGTGTGTGGGTTGTTGACAGGGATTCTGACAAGATGATATTCGAGCGGTTGCAGAAAGAATTTGAAGCTGCTCGTGCGTCTCAAACGGAAGGTATTTCTTTTCAGAGATAATGCAGTGGTTAACAGTTTATTTGCAAGTGATTTGTTTGAAAATTGTTTGGAATTCTTGCAGAGGTTTATTTAGATGGTGAAGAATGGAATGATGGACTGTTAGCTACAATAAGAGAGAGGGTAAAAGTTCTATTCTCAGTACTTTGATGAAGTGGCTTAACTGCTTACAATTCAGTGTTAAAATTAGATGATTGAAACAATTTACATCTCGAAGAAGTTCGGATGTTTCTGTTCTATTTAATTGATAACGTTAGTCAGAATACTTGTTTGTTTGTACTCCATCTCCTCGATGGATTTGTTTGGGCGGTTTGTATCGTTGTATATCTATATGTTTGAAGTTGCGTATGATCAAATTGTTAATATGCTAACTGTGATCTTTTCATCAGGTTCATATGGAGTTTGATAGAAAGGCAATGCTGGCGGATACGAATATGATCCCAAACATTCATGTCGAGGAAAAAATTACATATAGAGTTGGAACTAAGGTAATATTTTCCGTTGGTAGGAGATACAATGCATGGAAAGCGCTTCAGGTATGTGTTTTGGTGAAATTTATTGCATGGGTCAGTCATTTATCAATCATTGGCTTTTTCAATATAAACAGGTTATTTGTTGTCTGGAGGGGGCAAGAATTGGCATTCAATACGAGACAACTTTTGCAGGTTTGATGCAAATTTTCTTGTACTATATTCTAGTATGGTCATTCTAGTAATGTATCATCTCATGTTGCATCGGGAAACAATTACTCTACAATGTTCATGGTTTTCCTTGACTGCACTCATGAGGTTGATGGCCGTTTTATGATTAGATTGATAAATATCCTGAACAGTCTAAGCTGATTTCGAATACAATAGCATAAAGCAGATTAAATGGATCAAGATGCTTACTCTGTTGAGCACCTGCTTGGGTCATATGGGATTTATTAAAATGAAAATCTATCCTATTTTCATCATTTTACTTTTGTCAGTACACCCAATTTTTTCACTTATGAAGGTGACTTTCTTGAAAAGGTAGATCAGGAACTTGTTCTCACTCTGTTTGAAATGTTTGCTAAAATTCAACTTGTGAAACTATTTATCCTTGTAAAAATTGTTGTGATCTTCTTGTATCGTTCAATTCTATCAGAAGAGATTACCCGTCAGCCAATGCAACTGAAAGCTGATTCATTTGTTTCTTTCCTTTTTCCTTTCTCCTTCCAGGAGACCCTTGTGAGCTGTACCATTTGGTGCTCAAAAGCAAGTCATTTCTTGAAAAAATGACTGTCCTTGAACACACAATTCCTTTCTTCCTGCCAATCCGTGAAGCAGAAAATGATCTTCTTTCATCCAATGCAATGGTAAGGTTAGTTGCCAGAGTTGTCTTTTTGGACTTGATATTTCCCGGGCCACACCCTTTCTCATTATTGCTTCTCCCTGTTTTGCTAACAGAGGTTTATAGATTACATTGGAGAACTTCTTCAGGCTTATGTGGATAGAAAGGAACAGGTATGGTCCAGTTTACATGATTGTGGTATTTATGTGTTTCTGTTTGAGCTAGC